ACAGGTAAAATTTTGTTATGTAGCAATTGCAATAATTAGATTAATTAATAAAAGAAATATATAGAATAATGTAACTATTTTATACAGATGGACAAAGAAAAAGGTTTTACATTGTACTATCTGTATATTTTATCAGCCTTTCTCTAACTGTAATTACAGTTTCTGATAGTATAGTTATATTATACTATTATACTAAATAACTTTTCAAATTCTCATAGAATTTTATCGAGTGTTGATTGATGTCTATGGTATATTGCAGGTGGAGACGATTGCAAATTCAAAATATATGATTTGAGATGTGGTGTATCTATTAATTGTAGCCGCTGCCACAATGGTGGAGTGACCAGTATGCACAGCAACAAATTACATCAGTATTATTTAGCTACAGGAAGGTTGGTTTGACACTTTTTTATACTCGTACTGATTCAAGGATAAAAACCGCATTATCTGCTAGTATAATAATTGAATTTTTGCATCTAACAGTTAATACATTTCTCGAGTTTGTTTCCATACTATAATATCAAAGACTCCCCATGCTAGATCTATTAAAATTTTGGTTTCAATCTGACAAAAGAATTACCTTTACAGTTATGATGAGAATCTACTTCTGTGGGATACACGCCAAAGAAAGACACCTTTGAGCACGACCAGCCTAAATGGTGGTGTTTGGAGATTAAAGTGGGATCCTTTTACTTGTCAAACTCTGTTGGCGGCTTGTATGTATAATGGATTTCATATTATATCTTGCAAAAATCTCAGTGTAAATCCTTCAGTAATAGCAGAATATCACGAACATGAAAGCATAGCTTATGGGGCAGACTGGAGCTACCTGAAATTCAATACAAGCAGTAATAGTGCAAATGAATCAAATGAAAAATTATTAGCAATATGTTCTTTTTATGATCACACATTGAGTGTTCTAAAAATTAAGCGATGAATAATTATTTCATTAAAATGATATAATGATGCATATATACATAAACATAATATATACATATATATTTTAGTATAATATAATAAAATAATAATATTCAATTTTATGTAATGTTGCAAATAAAAAGTTTATTTTAAAAACTCCAAACAAAATCAATAAATAGTTATTCCTGCAAATGATTTATTGTTTTTAGGTTTTCAACTGTAAACTGATTTACAAAAACCCAAAAGCGAAATGAATTTTGTTTTAGTACAGGAATACCCTGTTTAACACGGGGGATACGTTCCATCAAAGTAGAGCGCAATTCGAAACAGCGCTAAACAAGACTATCTTTACATGGAAAATTAATACCCAAATTAATACCACATTATTATTTCTTGCAAAAATTAATACAAAATATAAATACCAAAACGAATATTCTTGAAAAAACAAATAACATTCTAAGTCAGTCATATTTAGTTAGCCTTCAATGGTGGAGTTTGCCGTTTTGTGACAAAAGCATCTAATGTTGTTTCACTTTTTCTTTTGCGTTGTCCTCTTGAAAGTTCTTCATAAACAGATAGAGCATCTCTAACAATAAGCCTTACTTTAGAACTCCTGTCAAAATTCGGATCATTTTCAGTGAATTGATCCATTATTTCAGTCTTGGTAGACAAACTTCTTTTCACAAACACCATCGAAAGTTATTTTTGCTTTTTCGCTGAATCACTTCTGTCAACATTTTTGTTCTCTTCTTGTTCAGTTCATTCCTCACCATTAAAAAAACTGCGCTGCTTCTTGAATTATTTCTTTGACATCTTTATCATTTATCCCTTCAAAACGTGGGTTGAAATAAAAGAGCGCTAAACCGAAACAGCGCTAAACGATACGGCGTTAAACGGGGTATTACTGTATTATTATATTACCAGACCGTTCATGTGTTAATCATGTCACGTCCATCATTAGTAGGTTTACAAAAAAAAAAAAAAATAACACTTGAAAGTAAGATATTTATTATAATCTTCAACTTTTATCCACAATTGCAACTTTTAATATCATGACACAAAATAAATATATTTATTATTTTGGCAAGTTGTTTATAATTAAACAAATTAATGTTTATATAATTCCACACTCCTCTACACTCTATTTCAAATTCAACACACATAACTTTACAATTGCAATTACTAAACATTGTATACTAATCATATTACAGATATATCATGTACTTTTTCAGACTATATATATATATTATATATATATATATATATATGTATATATATATATATATGTATATTTTGTAGAGTTTCGAACAAGAATCCAAAAATAATACAAAATAAAAAACAAGAAAAGTTTTTAAAAAAACAATTTCTTTATTTAATTATTTGTTATTGTCGACGTTTCGGAACTAGGTACGTTCCATCTTCAGGACATCTGTCAAGAAACATGATCTGATGAGATTTAGCAAACAATATGTTTAGGAAAAGAAATAGATTTTCTTAAATAATGAATTCATTATGTTTATGTTCTTAAATAATGAATTCATTATTTAAGAAAAATCTATTTTCTTTTCCTAAACATATTGTTTGCTAAAATCTCATCAAGATCATGTTTCTTGACAGATGTCCTGAAGATGGAACGTACCTAGTTCCGAAACGTCGACAATAAACAAATAATTAAATAAAGAAATTGTTTTTTTAAAAACTTTTCTTGTTTTTTATTTTGTATTATTTTTGGATTCTGTTCGAAACTCTACAAAATATACACAAATCCAAGACTCTACCATTCAATATATATGTATGTATATTATATATGATATATATATATATATATATATATATATATATATATATATATAAAGAATACCATGTACATAAAATAGATAGAAATTAAGGTATTTTATTAATGACAAAATTAACCAATGCTCTTATTTGTATGAACATGGTGTATTTCAAGATTTTTGAAAAATTTAATTCTAATCATATTCAGACTTAAATTTGTCAATCTCGAGTTTTCAATTATAACAATGCATTATAATCAACTTAACTTATTTAATAATAGTATGCATAATTACAATATGCTTTGGTTCTGAATAAAGTGAATGTTCACACCGCAATAGTACATTTTTGTATTGCAGTATATATATTTAGAGAGCTTAAATTAGCCGTATTACTTCTTTCCCTTCACAGACAGAAGTTTTAAACTCAATATGAGCTGTAATTCCACTCTAAAAATATTTGATTGCATTTTAATATAATTGATCTGTTATGCAAATTTATTTCTTGTTTACTAACTCATAAAATAATAAAAACATTAGTTACATGAATCAATAAAAAAAGTAAATCGGTGAATTTGTTTACAAATCTATATGCTTTTCACACAACAATTGTATGATTTTATACATAGAATCAAAGTAGGTTCATGAAACTGATTATTGGTCTGAATTTTTAATAACTCACGTGAGAAACTTTTGTTAAATTAGCATATGTAGGAAGACATCAATTCCGCATAAATTAGAAGATTTACATGATACTATACCAATAAAAATTTAATTCTATGTGGCAGACTATGATTTTTAATTTTAGCATGCAAAAAATAAAAAAAAAACATTCCTATTTTGCGTGGAATATTTTAAATCTTGGAAGTTAAATCTCGTCAATTTCAAAGTACATCAGACTGTTGTAAATGAACCATACAACCTCAATTCTAAATGTGTTCTATTCTACATAACAAATAAAACTGGAAGATAACATATAGATTTGAAAAAGAAAACCAACATATTGAATTAATATAGCAAATTTGAATTTGAATAATTTCCAAATAAAAATATAATTATAAACAATTTAAATTTAGTACTATCAACTGATGATTTGAAAAATAAGGTTTATTAAATTTATATTGTAAAAAAAATTATTGGCCTTAGGTTTTCTATATTGTAATTTTTATCATTTCTCAATATATTTTGCTTGATTTATCAGGTTTTCAAATCCAAGTATTAAAACATGACAATTTTATTAAGTACATGAATGCACATTACGTATATTGTTGATATATCTTTTGTTCCTCATTTCCCTATAGTAACATATTTAAAAGTAAATACTATGGTACATAGTTAAACTTATTGCATATAATTTTATAAAAACTAAATATAGATAAATATCAACTAAATATAGATAAATATCAAAAAATTCCGCTTAATTAATATCTGTATTACATTCCCTGAATAATGTATAATATCTAAATTATACACACTAAATTAAACAACTATCACTCAAAATATAATTGTTTCGGTGATGTTTGTGCGATAATTTTCAAATTCTATTTGAATTGAGATCTGTTTGCAATATGATTTAATATCGAAATAATATCAAAATATTCGACATACATCACAATCTTATGCAAATTTATTATGAAGGTACTTGAGTTCACTATATATTAACTACAACAATGCTTTGGTTATTATTTTAACCTCAATCATTTCTAGAAATTAAGCCCACAGTTAAAAGTTGCCCATCAGTTAAAAGTTCTGTTGCAAAACAAATTATGATTTCATACGCAGTATTCAAATTTAAAAAAAACTGTCTGAAGAATAGTCACAGTATTATTTTCGTAACTTGTATGAATGAATTTATTCTGCATAGCTTAAATTCCATAAGATAATAAAAATAATTCAAATTAGTAAAATAAAAATGATGGGTTCTACTAACACAAAATCCAATTTATGCACTTCTCTTTCAACAATCTATTGGCTATCTCACAATTAAAAAAATATCATTGCGGTACTTGTATCTGATTAGTTTGTCATGATTTTCATTGAGTTCATCCAGAATTCAACTCCTATTTCATTGAACACTGTATATATATATATATATATATATATATATATATATATAGTGTTCAAATTAATTACAGCTATTTATTTTTTAAGCACATATAATGTTATTAAGCAATCGATTGATAGCATTGTAAAGCTTTACAGTTTACCAGTAACATAATACAGATATATCCAAGGAAAGAAGTAAGTAATCCATAGACAATTGTATCCAATCAGTGTAATTATTACATTGTTTTATACATTTTACTGGTCTATTACAAAGGTAATGCAACGAGGTAAAGATGAAGATTTTGTTAAGCTATACAATGCTATAAATCGGATCTGTCATACGTGGTATTAAAAAACACTCATCCTCTCGAAGACGTCAATTCTGGATATAAATAGTTCAAAATAGCATAGTAATGCACAGCGGCGGCTAATACAACAAACAAATGCCATATCGCGTGGGCACACGGTATGGAACCATCAGCCTTGAAGAAGAAAACGCCCAGAATGTATAAAACGCCGCCTAATTTTAATTCTGCCAGTCCCGATAACTCGTGCTGAAATTTAAAATAAATTATGCACAAATGTGGTAGGAATGTGATATTTAACAAAATGATTCGATACGGCTTAAGTGAAAGTGATCTGAAGTTCCAGTCTGATTTAAACAGACTATGATGAGCTATTCTGAACCACATTAAATATGGATTTTTCATAAAAGTTCATCTTTTTAGCTTCTAAGCTGATTGTTAAAGCTTCTAGTTAAATTACGCCTCTATATGGAGAATCAATTGGGCGTCTAATACCTGAGAACAAATGTATAATAGCAGTGTGTAAATCTAATAAATAATCTGCATAAGTTTAAATTGTATCATAATTTTATATTGTAAATTTGTATATTTCATTTTTGTATATAGTACGCAAGCGCTTCTAAGAGTTTTATATAAAAGTCTGACACAACAATATCAAGAAAAAAGTTTTTATAACACACCGTTTGCAAAATTTTGAACACAATTCCCTTACTAGTGTAAATCCCGCGCAAAACGAATATTCGCAGTTCACTACAAGCTTGAACAAAGGCATCAAAAGCAAGTCTATAAAAGTTGAAATATCTACATTTTGTGATAAATCGTATAATGGGATTCAAAATTTTCTATCCTATAAATAGATAAATCAATTAACTGAGAATTTAGGCAATCAAGATATTAACACCTTCAAGATCGCATCGAAAATCATGTTTTACTCGTGGAGACCGCACTAAAAATTGTTAATTTCAGGTCGAGCGGTCTCGCGATGTAGTTGTTTCTTCTACGTGTTAAGCTATGAAAACTTATTATGATATAATTTCGTATAACACAATATCAATTCAACTCTTACATCAGACAGTAATATCACAATGGAGGGTCCTACTCCCATGATTAAGTACAGTAGGGTCTCAAAGGTCTTGTATCTCTCATGAAATATTTGTTGGTACAGAATGCCCAAAGCAGCAAGGAGCCAAACTACCCAGCGCATGGCTACTATAACCGTGGTCATCTGAGGCTCTGGCGTGATAGTGAGCCAAGGAAAGTAACTGCCAGCTATGAAGACGTAGATCATGGCCCGATCGCATCGGTGAAGGGCGTCCTTCAGTTGCCTGAAACAATAATTCCTTTCCAGGGTTAATGTTAGTCCTCAAAATAATAGTTCAAATAATAATAATAAAATGCCTCGAAATAAATGACCGAAAAGAAATTTACATTATAATATGACTAGCAAACCCGACGAACTCCGTTTCGCCACCAGATGGTTTCGTGAGAAAGATGAAGAAATTTTTTGTATGTTTTATATTTGAAAAGGAAAAAATTGATTTTATTGCACAACAGTAATGAATTTATTTCGATTACAAAAATGAAGTGTTTTTTAGTTGAACTTCTCTAAGTAAATGAAAGTGAATCCGCAAATTATCCGTTTCATTGAAGTGCTCTTTGGTAAACCACATTTTTTGTTGTTTGGTCTGACGTTAACACAAACAAAGCGGATGGTTTTCCAACTCGTGAACAGGGAACGTATAACTGCCCATGTAAAAAACAATGATTTTCTAAATAATCTATTTGAAATTTATCCCGCAAACACTAAGCGATTGGCCTTGCGACTTGTTATTGCGAACGCAAGGCGAACTGGAAATTGCAATTGTTTGAAGTCAAACGGAAAACCAGTCGGAATTATTGGTATGTCACCAAATCGCCAGCAATTTTTGATTGAATGGTGAAATTCAGTGCGTGTACATCATTATTCTTTGCGGCAAGAATTGCTAGTTGACTTAACCAAGCATAATTCTGATAATTCTCACTAATGTCATTACTCGAAATTTTAATTACTGTGCGTGAAATTCCAGCAATTTGCATTAGGGCACGATGCCATGCACCACTAATTTTCTTAGCTATAAACCTTGCGGAGCCCGAGACCTTTCCAACTAATGCAAAATTGTCGAAATCGGTTCGTGCGTTCTGGAGTTATTTCGTCAGGAAGGAAAACCCGACTTATTTTTATATATATAGAAGATAATCTATTTGCAAAGATTTAAAACAATTATTGATTATTTTTTTTACTCGAATTTTTAATTACGGTGCGTGAAGTTCCAGCAATTTGCATTAGGGCACGATGCCATGTACCACTATTTTTCTTAGCTATAAACCTTGCGGAGCCCGAGACCTTTCCAACGAATGCAAAATTGTCGAAATCGATTCGTGCATTCTGGAGTTCTTTCGTCAGGAAGGAAAACCTGACTTATTTTTTTTTATATATAGAAGATAATATATTTGCAATTATTTAAAACAATTATTGATTATATTTATTACTCGAATTTTTAATTGCGGTGCGTGAAGTTCCATCAATTTGCATTAGGGCACGATGCCATGCACCACTAATTTTCTTAGCTATAAACCTTGCGGAGCCCTAGACCTTTCCAACGAATGCAAAATTGTCGAAATCGGTTCGTGCGTTCTGGAGTTATTTCGTCAGGAAGGAAAACCCGACTTATTTTTATATTTTTTTATATTATATATAGAAGATAATTAATTATTAAAGCAAACAGTTTTTTTCATGAGATGAACGAACTAGTAACTTATGAATGATGATGCTTTTGCGCCTTCGAGCGCCTAACCTTCCCATAATTGTATCACAGTGATTATGATTTGAATCAGAAATTAATCGTCAATTTTTTAAAATAGGAAAATTACAGAACATTGTCGAAAATTGTGTTAACTCACTTATTTTTATTGCAGTAGAAAACTGAATGGAAGAACGTGGATACAGTGAGCAGCATGGTGAGTGCAGCGCCGTAGATGATTGCCGACAAATACTGGGTAGTATTTGTGGACCTTCGCAGCAGTTCTAAACCAGCCAATATACTAGGAACAACCCATACACCGTGCGTGATGACATTTGCTATGTGCTCCACCTGAAGTAACAAATAATGGTGAATCAAAAAATTTAATAATTTTGTACAAAATATTTCTAAAACATTAATAGCACAAACAACGAGTTGAACTTGACTGAATTGAAATATTGAGTTTTAAATTCTTTGGAAATAATTGAATATTTTGAAACGATTTAGATTACTGACGTGAAAGTTAGGAATTCCTTTAAAGACGGTATAAAATCTTTTTTAAAGGATTTTGGAAAAGTTGTTTTAAAAAACCAAAAAGATATTTTTCAAACAGTTACGTAAAATCGTTAAAAAAATATTCAAACCATACAATTTCAATATCTGTTAATCAAAATCATATATTTTTGTAAAAATATCATGAACTAAGTTATAACCCCTTGCACTCCATAGGCGCCGCTGTTGCCAAATGCTTTTATTGCACTAACTCCAAAATTCAAATTGTATTCGTATGGTAACACATGGCAAACATGATAAGAAATGATTCTTTTCAGTAAAACAAAATATAAATTTCAGACGCTTGAACGCAAAGTAGCTGCGCTCATTGGTAAAAAAACGCTCAAAGTGCAAAGGGTTAAACCATTGTATCCGCAACTGAAAAAAAGGTAAAATTCTCGTCTGAAGTAAAAATTATTGGTGATTGATTTCCTTTGTATTTTAATGTAAACTAATGCGCATATTTTATTTAAAAAAAAGTAAGTCAAAATGGATTATTAGACACATGTAACCTACGTTTATTTACCTGGGTCGGAATGTATGCTTGATTTGCACAAGCCTTTTTATTCATCCAATTGACGTCCCGCAGCTGTTGCCACGGAATCGACATTCGAAAATGTATAGGTCCTCGTTTTATATTTTCCTTCATTTCTGAGAATCATATAACAAATTTATGAATTAGTGAGAACAATCAAAAACTATATAAACTAATGATCACCAGCTACTTTAATTAATAAGTATTAAAAAAACGAATAACCTGAATAAATAATAGCTAAATAATCATAATAATAATATAAAAATGACAGTATAATAATCTATATCAAATATTGGATATATTTATCTGTATCTCTGTAGAAAATATCAATCATGTGTTGCAAGACAAATATGTAATGTAAAATGAAACCAGAACAAAACCATGCCATAGGTCATAATTGTCGCTTTTTGTTTCCCAAAACGCACGTGACTGTGTCTTTTGTCTTAAATGACCGATTGTGCACCGATTGAACGAGATTTAATATTAAATAACTGTAACAATCGTATAATAATCACCCAGAACTAGTTTAAAAACTAAGTTTATTATCTATAACAAAGTTGGAAATTTGAGATCTGCATTCACAGAGTATAGCATATGATGGTATCAGGTTATCATTATAGCTGATTATATTACATATAATATAATTTGCTTAAAACGGTTTTTAAATACGATTTTAAAATCACATGACTTAATTTAGTTAATATAATATATACACCTGGAATATTAAATCTTTAAATTTTTATGTTACATTCACAATAATATAGAATTGATATCTAGTATTAAGTGACTTCTGAATGTGCACATTCATTCATTTACTAACTAAATTTGCGAAAACGTGAATAAACTAGTGGTGTATGGCATCGTGCCTTAAGGCAAATTGCTGAAACTTTCCGTACCGTAACGAAATGTTCGAGGAATATTAAATGTTTTCAAATAGATTACTATAAATACTGTAACATTGTCTAATATTTATAAGAATTATATGAACTGAATTGCAAAGTTGAAATTATTCGTTTAAAGTATATTACAACTTTAGTCAGAATTAAAATTAAAATCTGAATTATTTTCGATACACAAAAAATTTTTGAAAAAAAAAATTTGAAACGATTTTTTTTAAAAGCAATTATTTTGCTAAAACAAGCAGACAGATTTTTAAATCATTCAAATCAGACGCTTAGTTCTCTCAAAAACTGCCATTTTTTGCACATTTAGCTCTGTATCTTCCAAATGGCTGGACCTGCCTTTGCCAAAAACTTATCACCTCTTCTACCAATCATTACAAAATGAATGTTTTTTAAATCATTAAAATCGGATACTCCGTTCTCTTAAAAACTCTTTTGTATTTTCTGCACTCTTTGCTCCGTATCACCGTAACGGCTGGACCTGCCTTTGCGAAAAACTAATCAGCACATCTCCCTATCAATAAGAGTCGAATGTTTTTTAAACCATTCAAATCGGTTGATGTGGACGAAAAAATGCGGACATACAAAACACACACACACATATACACACATCCATTTTTTCTGAGGTATGCCAAAATGTTCAGAAGCCTTCAAAACGTGAAGATATGCAAAAATATTCATTTTCAATTTTTGGCCCATTACTATAACTACCCTACGGAAAGTTAATAAATAAAAGAGTTTAATCAACAAATGATTGTTAATTAAACAAGTTTGAAAAGCACGAAAAATGTTATTAAACTTTACCAAAATAAATAAGAGTACATATATGAATATGAATATAATATTCAAAATGTTTCATTTCTTTTTGCAGATTAGAAAGAGAAGTATCTTCAGACACAGATTTCTTTTTAAGAAATGGATTTTAATATTTTTGAATAAGATTGAACTAAAATCGGGGTACTCCAAATACGTATATTTGGTTCCAAAAGTCAATGTCATCTCAAAATTGCTTGAAAAGAAAAGTCAATGTCTTTAAATCATTAGAGTGGTGCGATCGAATTTCACTAAAATTAATTTCTTCAATTAATGTAATTGAAGTTGAGCATTTGGATACAAAATTGGACATGCATTTTTATTCTGTTATTTGAGCGTAAATTCAAAATAAACTTGCAAAACTTACAAAAATTTGGTTCATGCAAAATTATATTATTATGTAAGGAAGATTTGAAAACTTTGCTATTAACAGTTCCCTTGGCACACGAATCGATTTTCATAAATGATACTTTACTTATTTATAGAACACATCGAAGAGAGTGAATAATCACGACTATATATGTTTGGCAAGACCGGGCCTTCAGTCAATTAGTGTGATTGCACATGTCTGTTGACAGTCACATTAATTCAATTAATTGTAAAAACTAATATCAAATCAGTTTGCGAAGTACAGTCACACACTTCTCTAACAAAAGCTACATATAATTCAAAATTTTAAGTGAAAATTTTGATATTGTTTCCAACAACGTTATTTCAAATCACGTTTATTAATTTATGATTTTTCCGATATCAGTATCGACATTCATATTCTATTTCACGCTTGGATTTCCAATATAATTTAATATTTATAACGCTTTTAACTTTTTAAATAAATATTTCGCATTGCGTTGAGTAATGTAATTTATCTATTACATTACCAAAGAATACAACAAACCAAAATGTTATTAAAAATCTGCATGTGCGGATTAATTTTTTTTTGGAAAAGCAAATTCTGAAAATTTTAATGATATGCATAATCTTTTAGAAAATTTTCAAAGCTCTGTTCTGCAGTTTGCACAAACTACTTAATTTAAAGTGAATTATTTGTTGTATTCAAAAATTTAAAACGTTCAACGATTCAAATAGATTAGATTTATGTACTAACATATAAATGAATTACAAACCGACCAAAATGATATTTTCAAAAATTATATAAACTCATTTCAAATTTTGTTCGCTTAATAATTTAATTCGTCTAATAAATGTTTATAGAATGGGAAGTTCCAACAATTTGCCTTGAGAAAATACTCTATTCAATTTGCTTTTCATTTAATTTCATTTAACAATTCAAATTTACGTAAAGGTACATTTAACATGCAAATTTACATCACGTCTCATATACATTTATTTCAATAGTATGTATAGTCCTTCGAACCTCTTCGAATAATACATGATACATTTTTTATTATTTACATAAAGTATACAAAGTTATAAATATTTATTTTTTACGCAAGGGTTCGCCCGTAGGTAAGCGGTTAAGAGCGACGGGACTTGTTTCAGAGGTCCCGGGTTCGATACCCACTTCGAGCAGCCTTTTGTCAGGCAACATTGACAACGATTTTCACTTGGAAATATAGATAGCAATATGTTTCCAAGTGAAAATAGCCCTCACCCGGCATTGTTGCACCATACTTGCCCTATTACAGAGATTGTAATAAAAATTTATCATACAGAGATGTGACAACTGTTTGGGTTGCCATCTGTAATAAAACAAACGTAGTTTGTAAGATCTTACTCATAACAGCTCATAGAACCCATAAGTTCTGATCGCAGTTCAAATAAAATTATAAAAAAAAAAAAAAATTACGCAATTTTAGATAAATAATATTATAATATAGTAAAGTTCGACACAGTGAAATAAGCAAAATATAAATAACTAAACACGAAGAAATTAATAAACCAATTAAAAGTGCAAATGAAAATCATATGAAACTTCCAACCGGAAAAATCATACAAACAAAACTATATATTAGAATTAGATTATTAAAATATATTTGAAAATTAGCAAAATTTATACATGATCATTAGAATTTGAAAATCCTTACTATAAAAACCTCACCACATTTTGCAATATATCAGGAAGAATATTTATGATTAATATCGATCAGTAGGGTAGAGCGGGGCTAGTTGAGCATAGGGGCAAGTTGAGCAATCGAAATATCTCGAAAACTAATCACCGTTCGTCTAGGCAATATATGGCGGAACTAGCTGTAAGTGGAATTCTGTCTTAAGGCAATTAGGGCATCGTGCCTTGAGGCAAATTGCTGGAACTTCCCGTACCAAAAATTATTATTTTTTTAAAAACGATTATCATTTTTGAAAAAAATTTACTTCGGAAAAATAAGATTTTTGACAAACAATTAGACAAAAAATTACTTTTTTTTGAAAAAAAAAATTTAATTTTTTTTTTTAATTTTTTTTTTTGAAAAAAAATGTTTTCTTTATTTTGACATATTTTGAAAGATCTAAACTTTTTTCAAAGCAATCGTAATGCTTTAACTGCATAAAGACGAAATATCAAACCGCGTAAGCGCCGCGTCGACGTCTAACGCGTAAACATTGGTACGGAACCCATAGGAATGTAAACCAAAATTATACTTATTGTTAAAATCTTTATAAAATATCTGATAATTTGATGTGCATAGGTATGTCTAATGATCATTTTTGACCGCCAAATGGCATTTTTTTTCACATTTTTCATTAGATCTCCGAAACCGCTAGACCTGCCTTTATGAAAATTTTATCGGTTTTTCACCTTGTCAATACAAGCAAAATGTTTTTTGAATTATTAAAATCGGACGCTCCGTTCTCTTAAAAACTGAGTTACCGTTTTCGGCACTTTTTGCCCCGTATCTTCGGAACGGCTAGAGCTGACTTCGCCAAAAACTAATCAGCACGTCTCCTTATCAATACGAATCGAATGTTTTTTGAATTATTTAAATCGGTTGATCGGTGTTCCCGAAATCGTCGACGAAAATTTGTATCCGCACATACATACACACACGCACACACACACACACACACACACACACACACATCCATTTTTTCTAAGGTATGCCAAAATATTTAGAAACCTTTGAAACGTCGAGAAAAGCAAAAATTTTCATTTTCGATTTTTTTGCGATTACTATAACTTACCCTACGGGAAGTTAAATATAGAGGTTTGGGAGAAATAAAGATCCCGCGATCGCTAGTGGCCGCTGGACAAATGAGTGAGGCTCGCGGGCGTTTTGTTTATTTTGGGACCAAAAAGTAAAAAAGTAATTCATCACGAGTTTTCATCTGGTTTAGTCAAATGTTACTTATTTCTAATCAGGTAAATGCTATTCTTCCATATAATTATAGTACTTTTAATATGCACGGAGATTCTGGGTATAATTCTCACGGTTTTTTTATGAACT